GAATGTTTTAAATAATAATAAAGATATTATTTTCTGAAACATATAATTTTGCAAGATAAGAAGCAAAAAAGAACGATTGTAGAGGCATTTTAAATGGTGGTTTATTTCATTTTATCGAAAAATACCGTTCTTGTAGAGCAGGCTTTCCCCTGCAAAATCTCTCCCCGCGGAAAACTGGCTCTAGAGAAATATTCCCTTTTACCGAAAAATAGGCTCTAGAGTAGGATTTCCCCAACGGAAAATGATTCTGAAGGAGGATTTCCCATACGGAAATCCAAAACCAGATTCAGTTGGGGGGGGGGGTTCTACTTTGTGTAATCTTATATATTTCGATTTCCTCTAGAGTCAGCTTCCACACCCATAAAATATCATAACTGTACTTATGTATAGGGTGGGAACACCCTCCTCTCTCAGCACTCACTCCCCACTCACACACACTCTCTTTAATTTTTTATTTGTTTGGCTTATTTTGGGGTCGACATATGGTACAATGAAATCTGTGTAGCAATTATCCATAGAAACAAAAAGCATTTTTTTATTTTAAATAGATTTTTTTTCTTCTGTTGTATTTCAAAATTTCTCTCCGAAATTATGGTGTTTGAATATTGCCATGGAACTAGAAATGAGTAAATTATTTCTAACAATTTGATCTCTGCAAAATCGCATTTGCTCTCTGCTTCCATATTTAATTTTCATCTGGGGGGTCGAGGAGACAAACTTGTACTTCGGTGCATTGCTGTGCATATGGTTTTGGCTTTTCAAAGCCTTCAGATTGTGGGTTGGCGAAAGTTCAACATTCTGTCACAAAGGACCTTCTTCTCTCAAGCAGTCATTTTTTCCCTTTGAAGAAATAATAGTTTCAAACATTCATAAAATGGCGGATTTGGGGCATATCAATAACATAAACTTTAGAATGTCTTTACTCTTTGTCAAAAGGATTCATTACTACCTTACGTAAATCAACAGTTTTAAAAGTCTACATCATATTCGCACCAAACTTGTCTCTGTCCCTTTGAAACTGATTCCTCGACACCAGAACATAGGCTCGGATCTGTAATTATGAATATTGCAAATCACAGGCTTTTTAAACCCGCACGTTTTACTGAAGAAAATGCAGCTAAAACAGTCCGTCTTTTCCTTAAACTTCAACATGCCAATAAAGAAATAGACGTGGTAATTAAACATAGGTAATATTCTTAATCGTAAAAGGGTCCAGTCTTGTATTCCACCATATTTCATGTTAAAGACTACACCTTGTATTTCCTACAAATACACATGGACTATTGCTTCCAAACTTTTTAAGTACAAAAACAAAACTTTACATGGCCTGGATATCGAATATCTGAAACATAATCCTCCATCGTGTTCATGTTCTTCTTCACCCTATTACTATAGTCCTGCTGGACATGTTATTACAATGACGTAAATATAATTAATAATGAGGATCTCAGATCACTCATTTTAAAAGGTCCTAAATATAGGGAACCCAGATCCTTCAACTGGCGTCGGAATTTCATAAATATTATGGATTCTGTTGAATATTACGCCTGACGATGGGCCAGATATGAAAAAGAAGACGTTGACACTTTGTCAGAATGGATTAAATGTATCAGATCCATGTTAGGTTCGCATATTAAACGTTTGAGGGGCTATATGAAAACCATCTATCCTTCTGTATTCAATAATCCAGATGTGAAAAAAACAATTACTAGTAGATAGATTACATATGATCAGCACGCACTGGTCCCTGCTGACAAAGCAGGTAACAACATTGTCCTCTTTTTAAGGCTCATTATAGAAATTGTGTTTTAGAAGAACTTGGATTAAATTCTAAGTGGTAATTTAACTTATACTCATAGTTCCCTTTCTAAGGAAGAGAGTCTTCAAAATCATATTTCAGTTTTAAATATTTTTAATATTCCAAAGAACCAATTTTAAGGAATTTGAAATACCATATACGACTACATATATAAGTATATAAGTACGTATAAGATACATAGCGGGTTCCAGTAAATGTTTAATCAAGCCTCTTTCTTTACTCCTTACTAAGATATTAACTGTAGTGAAGGAGAAACTTTAAGAGTATTGTGCAACAATATAATCAAGAAGTGGTGTAAATCAGATGTGGATACTAAAAAATTCCAAGGAACTTTTGGACAATTTGAAATCACAAGATTTTACCAAAATCAACAGCTTAAAACCTTAAGACCTTTCAACTTTATACACAACTATTCCCCACGATAAATTAAAAGTCCAGGCTTTTTTGATATCATTGACAGCTGCTTTTTCTATAAAAATGGAACTCGTAAATTTACTTACCTTGTCATTGGTCATTTGCAAAATTATTTTGTTAAAAAACATTCTGATTGTACACACAAGTACTCTGAAGTTGACATCAAAAAGATGCTTGAGTTTCTGATTGACAAATATCTTAGTTGTTCCAACAATCTGTTGAATTCCCATGGGTACCAATTGCACCCCATCATTAGCAGACCTATTTTTGTATTCATATGAAGCAGAATTTGTGCAAAATTTTATATGTGAAAAGAAGAAAACACTTGTTGTGGCCTTCAACTCGACATTTAGATATATCGGCGACGTATTGTCAATTAACAAAGTTAACTTCCACTCTTACGTCGATACGATATATCCTGCTGAGCTTGAGATAAAAATACCACAGAGTCTGACACATATTTTACTTGAAAAAGACGTTAATGGTAATCTAACAACCAAGCTCTATGATAAACATGATGACTTTAACTTTTCTATCGTCAACTTCCCTTACTTATGCAGCAATATACCTTCATCACCTGCATACAGAGTTTATATATCTCAGTTGATTCGATACGCAAGAGCATGCTCTATATATAACAATTTCTAAAACGAGGTAAATTGTTGACAACAAGTTGATGAAACAAGAATTTCAGCAGTCTCGTTTAAAAATTTTTATTTCGTAAGTTCTATGGTCGATACAATGACCTTGTCAGCAAATACAATTTATCATTCAGTCAAATGCTGACTGACATTTTTCATACTAATTGTTAGTCAATTATTTATGTACTGAATTGACGACGGATTTTCCGTTATTTCCCGATCATGACAAAGAGCACACGGCGGGTGTGACCGGTCGGCAGGGGATGCTCACTTCTCCATGGCACCTGATCCAACCTCTAATGTTTTGGAGATCCGTGTTTGCTCTGCTCCTATTTGGTATTGTATTATGGACTTCTAATCTTGAATAATGTTCGTTATCTCCATGTTTCATCCACAGGTGAAATACTGGACCTTTAGAGAGCAATCAAATTATCAAATTAGTAACATATCCTGGATATAATTTTTAAATTCATGAGTAAAAACGTACCGAGAGAGTGTGTTTTGACATCTGTGACTTAATTTTACAATTTCCCACGTGTTATAAATCCTACTCAAGAGTACAGATTCCTCCGGGGAAAGCTGGCTATGGGGGAAATCCTTCTCTTGAAATTTTTGGTTACACTGTGAATAGTGTAACCTGCTCACAAAGTTTTAGAGAAACATGAGAACTCTGCTTTGTTACAACGCACTTTGAAAAATTACGCACTTTGAAAATTTTTTTCAAAGTGTGTTAAATGTCACCATGGTAAAAAATGTTTATGTACACTCTTAACGCACTTTGAAAATTCTTTTCAAAGTGCATCGAGTGTGTCCTAAATTTAACGCACTTCGAAAATTTTTTTCAAAGTACGTTGATTTTGTCCCAATTTTAACGCACTTTAAAAATTTTTTTTCAAAGTGCGTTGCCACACTGCTTCCAGTCGTTACTTCTCATGGTTTTGTAACTGGAATGAATATTCAAGTCATGCTCTCAAAATATTAAAATTTGGTTAAAAAACTGATATTTTTGCGAGAAACAGTAAAGGAGATTCTTCTTTGTTTTACAGAGGACTGTTTCCAGGTTCCCAGTATCCACCACTGTCTGGGATGTTTCTATCAGGCGACAAACCATCAGTGCTGTTGTCCAACCAACAGATGACGTCAGTGGGAGACTGCGTGCAGCAAAGATCAACATTACATTCTATATAAAGCAATTCATTTCTTTTCATGGTAAATGGATTCACATTAATCTTAGAATCTGGCATGTGTATTGGTAAAGAAATCAATGTAGGAGTTGTATACATTAAAGTTTTTAAAAATACTTTATATTTGTAATTTATCCGAAAAGAGAGAGATCAAAACCGTATTTCAAAATATTGTGATGCTGCAATCATGGCTGACAATATCGACCGATACTCAATGATAACGGATGAAGATAACAATTAAGAATGCTCGACTTCATAAATATTTTAAGTAGTACAATTATGTAAAAAAAAAAAAAGCTTAAAGACAGACCCAGGGATTCCAGAAAGTGGTGTCAGGTGCTTAGAAGGAGTAGGCATCGCCTTTTAGTGGTCACACCACCATGAACCCTTTGTATCAATCAAGTACATGGAACATATTGTAGTCAAATTCTGACAGTTCAAAAACAAAGGCCTAGCAATTGGTAAGAAACAAATCAGCCAAAACACGACGTTATATTTGCTAATAAGGTCATTATAGCGACCAAAGAATTTCGAAATGCTGATTTTAATTGAGGTTGTTGGAATCCCTCCGGCATCAACTTATGTGTGATAAGTCTGCCTCGGTTTAAAACTTGATTGTACTCAGAACATGCTCTTGGGTAGCAGGTAAGTAAACACTCATGCAAACACTTGTGAAGGTGAAAGCGGAATAATACAGACATAAAGTTGACAATGGAAAAGCTAAATTCATTTCCTTTCTCATACAAACTAGGTTAAGTTTGATTTACTGATTTGCTGAGGTGCAGTACATGTATATCATATCTGGGGAATATTTACAGGGAACTCCTTCCTTGCAAAGTAAATTATCCAAACTTCTTTTTTGTATACAAAAGATTTGCACTATTGTTAGTAAGGATAATTCAATACTGAATGTTGATTTACAAAAATAACATAAAAACTGTGTAAAAAGCTACAATATTGCAATTTAATGACTAATCATAATGAGAAAATATGCATATAAAAATAACAGTTGTTAAAAAAATAACAGATCTTTATATTTAACAAGTTGATAAGTCATGGTGACATAGGATGCAATGTCATGTACCACAGATTAACTGGAAGAAAAAAATTGCCATTGAACAGGAATGTATAGCTAACTCATGTTGTCTTTCTCTCAGAAAATTAATTTTGTTTAATGAGTCATTTACTTCTTAGTTGCAGTAAGCATATTCTCTAGAATGTACATGTACAACTATAAAATTGCAAATAGGCATCATTAATTTTCTGATTTTCACAGAATGGTTGTTCTTATTAATACATAATTGTATAGCACTGTGGATTTCACTTGAAAAATACAAGTGGGATTTGAGACATTTTCCCCTAGGAATTCATGTATCACATAAATATGATAAAGCATACATTCAAAAAAAGTTCTTACATAAAAGTTAAACAGCGCCTGATCCTGCTTACTCCATTTTTCCTTTTATAAGAAAATTTTATACTTACTATAGAATTAACTTCACAATGTTTTGAAAATATCTTTTTTAAAAAATGCAGCATGAAGTATTGAGGTAAACTCCAATAAGATTCTCTCTGTCTTTGATTCAGAATATATGAATACATTTTCAGTTTATCCCTAGAAAAGTTCAATTCTTACAAGGGACGGAGAAAATGCATAGAGGTGGTGTTGATCAATGGATATAGCTTTGATATAAAACAGACTTTATCACAAGCACCAATTGTTGATTGATAACAAGAAACTTCATAGAATAAAACAAATAACAATTATGATCCCTCCAACAATAACAAGACTTGTAAAATATAACAACAGTACAATGTTCAAAGGTGAACAATGCTATATCTACAAGTACAGGTTTTCAAACTTCTAATTTTAAAAGTTTTCTAAAAAATGCTTCTTCTTTTTTTAACTCAAACCAAGAGGTATTTTTAAAGAAACTATATTATTGCTGAATTTATTTATTTTCATTTTGGATCTCCAAGTCTGATATGCCTACAAATGCAGAAACCTAGCTAAAACAAGGTTTTTTTAATTTTGAATTCAAAGTTTGCTACATAGTGGATAATAACATTAATATATAATATGCATCTAAGAAAAGCTAGCATAATACATTTTGACAGCCTACAAAAAAAAGATTTATTGACCATACAATTTTGATATATCCATATCACAAGTATATCACTTAAAACAATGCCAATGAACATAGTATTGACATTATGTCAAAAATCTATTTTGTTTGCATAGTCTGTTAAGGTAGAATCAGAGATCAGAAAGAATTGGTTTTGTTCAAGTCACTATTTTAGGGAAAGCATAAAAAGTTACTTTAAAAGTTTCCTACTGACTACTAAGAAGGGCTCACTGATCATCAGGTTTTCATAAATTATCATTTCCTTTTCTAAAACATGAATGTCACTTTAACAAGTTTCCAAGAGTTGATTGCCCTTTTCCTTGGCTACTGAGAAGTCCTTTAAAACTGAATTTACTGATGGTCCATATCACACGCCACTGCTTAACTGACTCGACTCCTCTTCCTTTAATCAGAATGTCACTATCATAATCTTACAAACAAATCACATCTTTTCTATGTAATTGGCAGGAAACAATCCCTCTTTTCCTCTTAACCGGCCCCTCCACCAACCCGCAGGATCTAATAATAAAAAGAGATACTGATGAAAAAGGCAAAATAACAATGTAAATGTACTTCTAGCTAGCATTTTAGAATATCAATTCCTTCATTATAAAGAGAATTTTCAGTTGCGATGGGGCTCTTTCACCAGACTTGCATGCAAAGGATGTTAAGCCCTGACAAATCAAAAATTAATTTAGTTCTTATACAAATATATTTTCAATTAACTGAAAACATAGGTAATCAATATATTATAGAGCTCACCTCAATGAAAAAATTGTCTTTAAGTAAGGCAAAGTCCCAAATTAAACAAACAATCTAAAAGTTTACATCCCAAAATGCAAAATTCATGCAATTTTGATCTGATAAGGCTTGCAATTACTTAGGAGTAGACTTATCAAAAAACCTTCAAACTAGTCTCTCATCCAGAAAATGTAATTCAAATCCAGTGCATCTGAAGCAAGTTTGGGAGTGTTTATGCCTTGTTGCATCATCAATACAAATTTGGATCAGAAAGGCCTTATGGTTTCTTAGTAATAGACATGCACCCAAAACTTTCACCTGGTCCATTATCTGGACAATGTATGCCAGATCCAGCATCTGAAGCAACTCTATTAATGTGCATCCTGAAATGTATAAGCCATGTATATTTGGTCAACATAGGTCTTATAGTTACTTGGAAATGAGGCTTGCACCAAAAACTTTAACCTGTTCAGTCATCCGGAAAATGCAGGTCAGATCAAGCAATCAAAGCAAGCTTGGTAGTGTGCATTCTTAGATGTATCATCCATGCAAGTTTGGTCATCATAGGGCTTATAGTTACTTGGTAATGAGAACTGCACCAAAAATATTAACCATCGCCAAAAACTTTAACCTGCTTCACAAACATTAATCTGGTCATTCCTTTGCTAAAATTACAGCATCCGAAACCTTGACTGATACAATGAAACACACAAGAAGCATTCTCCATGCATCTCTAACTCATGTAGGGCATAGAAGCATAGAAGTACTAAAATAGAATACTGCACCAAAAACTGAAACCTGGGATGCTGACTTCGACCCCGGCGCTGAGGGTATCACATATGCTCCTCCCAACTGCGTTGAGGTGAGCTAAAAAGTGTTTGCTTGTGAACCTACCCTCTTTGAGGATTTCTATAATATCTCCTTCGTTGAAGCTGAGTTCATCTGTATCCTGAGCGTCATAAGCATAAAGACAGCGACATTTGGGAAGACTAGGTTTGGGCTTCTGGGGAGGGGGCTTGGGTCTACCTGCCCCTGGGGGTGGGGGCTTTCCCCCGGACTTCCTCCTCTGAACTCTAAAAGATCAAACACAAGAAATCAAATCATTTAGCCAACATCCAATATTCTCTGTTAAAAGAGACTTATTTAAAAAAGAAATCAAAAGGATTATTGATAAGTATGTTTTTTAAGTTTTCAATGCATGCAGGACAAGTACAATTACAATTTAAATACAAAATAAACTTTAAAGGCATTAAATCTTATGGGTCATTGTTTCCGTTTCCTAACAGCAGTGACAAGCTAGCAAACACGCTGCTCAGCAATTGATAACGAAAAATAAAATGTAGTTCTTCATTGTAAAAACTGTCTCTGTGCTGACTAAGTTAAAATGGAAAAATACATTTCAAATCGAATTGTTTCAATCCCTCTCCTCTCAACATCAATTTCAATAAAAAAAAAATTCATATTGTAAAATTGAGCATTCAGTCTGTTTGTAAATAAAACATCAAAGTTCAAAATTGTTTGTAAGTTATCCTGAAAGACCTAAATACACTGTATATATTATCTCTAAAAGAAGGAGGTAAATAAACTCTAATTTTTCTGACCTATTAAAGATAGAACAGTTCTGAAAAGGAAGCAGTTTCTTGGATTGTTAAGCTGAATGTTAGCAATAACAGATTGATTATTTCAAACAGTACATACAGTGAACTAGTATTTAATCTTACAATTCTGGTGTGAGATAGAGAGGTGTTGCTACTATGTGCATATCTGACATTATATTTACTCAGCATAATTGTTAATAATTAAAACATTTTAACCCCCCATCCTCTTTCAAAAATTCAAACAAAGTCTAATTTAAACAAAAAAATATTGTTTGTACTTATAAAAAAATTATCGGGGTGCATCATTAAGATGTATCTTTAAAACTTTAAAGGCTAATTTTTCAGAAAACACATACTGTAACTGTTTGCAGCATTTTACCTGAATGTGAATGTGATACGTGTCATTAAAATGGCAATAAAACAGCTTCACAGTGTAGGTGTTTGTAATTGTGTGATGTTTTTCCCTGAAGTTTTGCCAAGCAAATCTAGTAAAGCATGAAGTCTAATGAAGATCTCTTGACTCCTAATACTCTAAACCAACTATTGAAGAATCCCTGATGCTTGAAGTATGCATAATACTCTTTTTAAAATATCTGGTATTTGCATGTAACTGTAATTATGACTTAAAATATAAATAATAAAACTGAATTAACAAAAAGCAAAAAACTAAAACTAAAAAAAAAAATTTAAAAAAAAACACACCAGACAAGTGAGCAACAAAAAATACACATTTTTGTTAATACTTCAATGAAAAACTAGAACTGTCCAATAGGGACAAATACCCCCCGCTGGGTTTTTCAGAGAAGGTGCCAATTCAAAAATACTTTATGGATCTAGAGATGTTCACAATTTACTTAAAAAAATTTGCAGTGAAATAAAATTGCTCATCATGTTTCTTTATGAATGAAACGGAGGTGCAACCAAATGAAACATCAATACTAATACATTGTAATTCCATTGTAACATTTTTTTTTTATTTTTATCATTTAATTTTTCTTCATTACTGCATTAAAAAAATATATTGCAATTATGTGTTATGTCACTCTGCAAACTGATTGTTGAAAAAAGAAACCATTATACAAAATCAAATTAATCTTGATATATCAATTTGAAATGCATTTTGAAAATAAAGAACTGGTCATCCAGTAATGAAGTGTTTTGACAGACAATAAATTACAATTAAGAGAATAAGAGAAGAGAGATCTTTAATTCTTGTGCCTTATTCCCTGAAGATTTGATAACACACACACACTTGATAAGAGATATGCCTAAACAACTTCCAACACCAAACTCATTAATTTATCTTTAACTGGATGCATGTCCAGTCATTATTCCCAAGAGACAAATGAAATTACATTATCTTCTGTGCAATGTAAAAACTGTTTTTAACACTTGATGTTTCTTTTTTTTTAAGTTTTTATGAGTAGTTTTAAGCTGTAGTTCATGTTTTTGTACAGATATTCTAGATTCTATGTCTCAAACCTTATACATGAGCCCAAAATGAACAAGTCAATTAAAATTTTAAAAAACCGGTAAAATGCAGAAAAATGAACAAAAAGAGTTGAAAATTCCAGGTGCACAACTTCATATGGTGAATAATAATTGTACAAATTTTCAGATTAATCCTTGCGATAGTTTCTGAGAAACGGTCCAAACAAAACCCCAAAATAAAAATGAAAAAACACCTGTAAAATTCAAAATAATAATCCAATCAAGATGAAAAATATCAGGTGCACAACTTCATATGGTGAATAATATGTGTACAAATTTTCAGACAAATCCTTCCAATAGTTTCTGAGTAATGGTCCGGACAAAGTCTCGTCTACAGACAGACGGACATGGTGATTCCAATATACCCCCCCTAAACTTCGTTTGCGGGGGGTATAAAAATGTCTTAGAATTTTGAAATGACATTAATTGGAACAGTGGGGTGCAGAAACTGGTCTCCTTCAAACCATGCAACAAACACACAACTTACTGTGATGTCATCCTCTCTTGGTCTAACTGGGCTAAAATTCTACAGAACAACGAACCAGTGTTATTAGTGTTTGTTAGATTCCTCCAGCAGGGTGGGATAAGTATATCTATATTCAGCCTCCCTGGGTAATTTTTTTAATTCGTACTATCACCCTTTCACTATCCATTCTGAACTTGATAAACATATAACCCATGTATGCTGAATGAATTGAGAACATTGCTTATTAAATTATTAAATTCTCCATGGATTTAATTTACTGATGAGAGTTTCATCTATCTAAGAACTGTAAGGCTTATCATAAAAGAGTTAATCATGAGACATCCAGCCTTACATTGTACACTCCATTGTGACGCGAATAAAATGACTGTAAATGTGCTAACTAACACATCAGACCTTGAACATCCAGTTACATGTACTTTACTGGGTATCTAATTGTAAGGGAGCATCATGTGCTATGTCCTCTGATAGACTTACCCAGCCTGGCCAGCTTCTGGTGTGGCCATGAAGTTATTGTTGATTGGAGCATTCTTCTTACTCCTCCGTAGGACCTGCTGGAATCCACCCTGAGGCAGCGAGGGGGCGTGGTCACTATTAAGGCGAGATCGACGCTTCCCTCCTGGTAATGAACAATCAATGAACAATGTAAGCCATAATCTTACATTTTACAACAAGAAATCATTACAAGTAGAATGAAATACTGTACATGTAGATCTATATATAATTCAAAATGGGGCCTTCCATAAAAGATGAATGTGTTCAATTTATCAACAGAGCTTCAATGTCAATAGTATATTTCAAAAGGTATATGTGATTTAACCAACTCCCCAGCATACTACAAACACCATTCCTTTTTAAGTTTAAAATACAGAACATACATTACAGTCAAACAGGTGACAAAAATTTTCACCCCAGCATCATAATGGTGAAATATTCAAAGCAAAGCTTAATTCCAACACATTCATTGCCTCAGTATCAAACTACATGTACATGGAATTAATTCCTTCCACTGATGTAGAAATCTACAGTTAGAGTGAATTCATTGTAAGCCTATTTGCTAAAGCTCTATATCCATATTTTACTCTATTTAACATTTGTAGAACACACCTACACAACTTCCTCATTTTTATATCTTTGTAACCCATGCATGACTAATCTAAATAGCCACCTGAATTACCTGTATTTACAATATAGAATCAACTCACCTCCCATGTGTGCTGGTCCTGACCCTGGTATGGCTGGTGGTGCAAAGTTTGGAGGGGGTCGGGTAGGGGCGGGCCTTGAGGGGGGACCTCTTTGTGACCCTGCCCTCCTCGATCGCATGCTGCCATTTCTGACCGCCATCTTTGTCTTCCCAGGACCTAAATAAACATTTGACAGAATAATTATATACATATCTCTTTTCCTGTTTACAAGATATGAACCCTGGAATTACTACATATGACGGTTTGAGGGAGTCTATATCTGTAGTTAATTGAGCAAACCTACATAACTCCAGTTACTTACACAAGTCCTTGGGCAACCCTGGCCGTGTTTTCCCTGAAGGTTTGAGCATGGCTATGTCACTAGTAACTGAGTACTTACGTGAGTCCTTGGGTAATCCTGGCCCAATAGACACAGTCAGTGTTTTCCCTGATGGTTTAAGCATGGCTATATCACTAGTTACTGTACTTACGTGAGTCCTTGGGTAATCCTGGCCCAATAGACACAGTCAGTGTTTTCCCTGATGGTTTAAGCATGGCTATATCACTAGTAACTGAGTACTTACGTGAGTCCTTGGGTAACCCTGGCCCTATAAACATGGTCAGTGTTTTCCCTGATGGTTTAAGCATGGCTATGTCACTAGTAACTGAGTACTTACGTGAGTCCTTGGGTAACCCTGGCCCTATAGACACAGTCAGAGTTTTTCCTGATGGTTTGAGCATGGCTATATCACTAGGTTGGGGCAGCCTCTGGAACTTTATCACCCTAGTTCCTCCTCCTCCCCATCCTTCCTTCTTGACAGGGAACTCAATTCTACAACAGCATCATTTTATATCAATTTCAATATTTTTAAAAATATATTGCCTATTGAAGAAGAGACATTGTTTCTACAGTGTATATAAAGAAAGTATGTAACTCCGATGAGAAATGAACTAATGCCCTGTTCACACGACGAGTTTAATTCGCAGTAAATTAATGCGAAGTAAACGAATGCGAATAAGATTAATGCGAATTAAATTGCGTTCACACGACAGCTAAAAATGCGAAGTAAACTAACGCGAATTAAAATTTTTCTTCTACAGTCAGGCTTCAGTAAGTCTATTATGACGTCATTTGTAAATCACGTCACGTATGCAGAGCCATCCTTTGATACATCATGTAGTGGCTACAGGTATTCATTGATTTTAGTGATTAACATACTTTCCCTCAATTTTTGAACCAAAGATAGCACAAATACCTATATATAACAACCAACACGTGTCCTGTGACTTAATTCTGGCCTTACGCATGCGTCAAAATTTAATTCGAATATGCTTCGCTTAGAGTTCACATGAAGCTAATGCGAAGTAATTTAATGCGCAGTAAATTAATTCGAATTAAACTAATTCGCATTAAATTATCCGTGTGAACGCTAAGCGAAGCTAATTCGCAGTAACTTTACGTTTAATTCGAATTAAACTCTCCGTGTGAACAGGGCATAAAACATGACTGTTTACACAGCTATACAATGTACATCACCATGTTTTTAAACAGCCACTGTATATAATGTAAATCCAAAATTTACCAGAAAAGAGAACTGTGCACATTTTGAATAAGCTCTGTAACAAAATAAAAGCAGCAAAAAAAAAAAAAAAAACAACAACAACAACAAATAAATAAATAAAATAAACAAAGCAACAAAAATCAAAAACTTACACATCTGAAAAACTGATTGGGAGCTCTCTATTCGTTTTCTCCTTGTATCTCTTTTTCAAGGTCATGAGAAATTCTGTCTTAAACATGGACTCTAACATGCTGCTGAAGTCGTTCTCTATATGTATCACAAATATATCATCCTGTAAGGGACTGTAAATACAAAATACAACAGTTACAATTAATAGTAACAAGAGGCCCAAGGGCCACATCGCTCACCTGAGCAATTGGCTAGGAAAAAGCACATATCAGATCAGAACTGAAAGTTTACAGAGGTGGGGGCTTGAATTTTGGGTCATGATTTGAACAAACTAGAATCTACACTACCTGAGGATGATTCCCTATAAATATCATTAAGCATGGCTTTGAAGTACTTGAAAAGAAGATTTTAAAAGGTTTCCCTATATATTCCTATGTAAAAACTTCTATCGGCCATTTGGCCCAATCCTACCCCCGGAAGTCATGATTTGAACAAACTTAAATCTACACTACCTGGGGATGATTCCACATGAGTTTCATCTTTCCTAGCTGGCCCAGTGGTTCTTGAGAAGAAGACTTTTAAAGATTTTTCCTATATATTCCTATGTAAAACTTTGATCGGCCATTTTGGCCCCACCCTAGCCCCGGAAGTCATGATTTGAACAAATTTGTATCGACACTACCTGAAGATGATTCCACATGAGTTTTATCTTTCCTTGCCTAGTGAGTCTTGAGAAGAAGATTTTTAAAGGTTTTTCCTATACATTCCTATGTAAAACTTTGATCGGCCATTTTGGCCCCACCCTAGCCCCGGAAGTCACGATTTGAACAAATTTGTATCGACACTACCTGAAGATGATTCCACATGAGTTTTATCTTTCCTCGCCTAGTGAGTCTTGAGAAGAAGATTTTTAAAGATTTTTCCTATACATTCCTATGTAAAACTTTTATCAGCCATTATGGCTCCATCCTACCTCCAGGGGTCATGATTTGAACAAATTTAGATCTACACTACCTGAGGATGATTCCACATGAGTTTCATCTTTCCTGGCCCAGTGGTTCTTGAGAAGAAGATTTTTAAAGATTTTTCCTATATATTCCTATGTAAAACTTTGATCGGCCATTTTGGCCCCACCCTACCCCCAGGGGTCATGATTTGAACAAACTTAAATCTACACTACCTGGGGATGATTCCATATGAGTTTCATCTTTCCTGGCCCGGTGGTTCTTGAGAAGAAGATTTTTTAAAAATGCCATTGATTTTTTTCTAATTCATAATTATCTCCCCTTGGAAATGGGCGTGGCCCTTCATTTGAACAAACTTGAATCCCCTTTACATAAGGATACTTTGTAGCAAGTTTGGTTGAAATTGGCCCAGTGGTTCTTGAGAAGAAGATGAAAATGTGAAAAGTTTACAATGACAACGAGTACGACGACAATGACAGACAATGGACAAATTTTGATCAGAAAAGCTCACTTGAGCCTTCGGCTCAGGTGAGCTAATAATTTATCTCTGTGCTTGTATAAACAAGGAAAAGTCAGTATTCATAGGTTTGCTTCCAAAAATATACCAGTCAATATCAATACACACAAATGCATTTTTAAGACAATTAAAAAAAATATAAAAAATTTCTTGAGAATGTGGACTGAATTCTTTTTTTTTCAGGATTAGATACATGTATCACAGCCACTCTGTCTAAAAATCAACAAAAACATCTTAGAAAGTTCACGTACACTGTAAGCATAATTACCTAAAATTTTTTAATATCCAGTACAATGTATCCCAGAACATTACTCACCTAAGGCACACTTGTTTTATACTTTCTAGTGGAATGTCACGTTTTAGAACTTCTATCATTTTTCCCTTGTCTGGACCTTTTTTTACCTAGGAAAAACATGACCTCATGACATGGCCTACATTTTATTCAGAAATTGCTGAAAACAATGACTGTCTTTTCTTTTTACTGATTTAATTTTTCTTTAAAATATGATAGAGTTTGAAAGCTGCAATTTATTTCAACAACTTTTTAGAAATATTCTCAAATCTTTCATCTTTACTCACTATTTCCCTTCCTATTAAATAGATCTTCTTTGCTGTTAAAAGAAGATCCCTTTTGGCAATCTGTCAAAAAAAAAAGAAAAACTGATCAATTTTAATGCAAAAAATGAAATTCCATTTTAACAATTCAAATACAAATTAGATAGTACAGATACTTTTGCAATACAATACAGTAAAACTCATTTGTAACAAGTCACTGGGACTTATGAAATTACTTCGCTATAACCATTATTTGTTACATCCCTATAGGAAATTGATAAAATTTCTGTAGCTGGGGATCTCAGATAACTTTGCTATATCCATGAATTTACAATATCCATGACTAAACAAGTTTTACAGTACCTTGAACCTTCTGTCAAACTTCAGCACAGTATCAGCAAACTCGATCCTCTCTCGTTTGCCAACAAATGTACGTAATGCGGGATTGTCCTCCATTCCGAGGTAGTCCCCGACAAAGTTCCTGTTTAGACTGTGTCTTCTTCTCTCCTTCTTGTTCAACAAAATGTCCGAGGCTATATAAAGGAAGGAATAAAAAAGATATTTAAAACACTTTTTTTTTCTTAGGCTGAGAGTAAAGTTATTTAGAATATATATGAATAAAGCGCATGAATTGTTTAAGGAATTACTGTCTAGTTAGTATAGTATGCCAGGGCATCAACAACAGTGGGAAACATGGGATAATTTGCATAACGGGCAATTGTTATGCATAAATTATCCTATGTTTCCCACTATTGTTGATGTCACTAGCATTCTATACTAACTAGACAGTGATTCCTTATATTTCCATTTCATTGTGAAATAAAATTGTGGGTTTAGATTTTAAAAATGTAGACATAGATTTAAATTACACCAGGACTCCCATGCCAATTTCAATAGTCCTCGACCCTCTGACGTCAAACAGAAAGGCAGTCGCACGAGATTTACAAGCATATTTGGCCTCCTTAGCATCGGACACAGAGACAGATGTGCAGGAGATTTGCATGCATATTAGGCCTCCTTAGCTCCTGACCTATCGACCTGCCTAATTTACATTTGGGTAGAATTATCGAGAAATCAACTCCACTAACTTTCAAAGATTTATCACAGAGAAAAAAAATTAGATTAGAAATGGAAATATTTCTTCATATGTAGGAAAAGCTTGCTATATTTTGAGTTTTAAATATTTATATACATCATTATACCTAACTGAAATTTAATCAATCTACTTTGCTTTCAATTGTATAAAATATTTTTATGAACAAAATATATTGTGTAACACACCTTCTTCTCGTAGTTTATAGTACATTTTCCTGGCGTGGTATTTTCTGTAGGCTTTTTGGATGACTCGAGCATATGCGTCAAACTTTCTCTCTCTCATCTCTTCTAGTAAGAACAGCTAAATTGATAACACAACAAATCAACATTAAACCAGTCTTCAAAATACAGATACATAAACATTAAATATACTACATTTAATTACTATTCATATTATTAATTATACATGTAATTTTCAAATATGAAGATCTTTTTAATGTATCCAAAAATATTGTAATTTGTCTGAATTATTTGTACTTACAGATTCAGGGTTTTTGATGAACACCTTGGTGTGTCCTAACTGCCACTGGTCAGGATCCATGTTGACGTAGTTCATTAGGTGTTTGATTCCCTGCCGCGGATCCCCTCGCCACTGGGGCCACGTCTCAGGGGTCAAGATCGCATACCTTGTTAATAATACAGGAAAATACACATGAAATGAATGCATTACAAAATATATAGGGCATGCTACATCCTTTAAAAGCAATAATACATTTTTTTTACACTTCCAAAAATAATTGATCATGTTAAGTTGATCTATTACCTTCTCAAGAATTTGGAGAACTCTCTCCTGAAGGCAAACCCAGCTCTCCTGACTCTGATGTTCTCCTTCAGTCCTAAATACTCCACCTGGTGCTTCACCCTAGAGGTCAAAAACAGGGAAAAACACATTAACAAAGATAGTCAATCAGCGTAAGACTGAAAATACCCTCCTGATAAATGGCAGTGCTGTCCCCTACCCCGTAAGAATTCAATGTACAACAAAATTTCCATCAAATTAAAGGTACCTCACCATTCAAAATTTTCAATTCCAAATGTTTGTGTCAGATTACCAAGGATATGACAATCTTACCTGCTATCTTCAAAATCTCTTGGTTTCTTTGTTTCATTTGGTTTAATACATCTTATGTAGTGTGGGGTACATTTCATCAATGTGTCCACCAGCTTGTTGGCCTGTGTCTGAAAAATTAAATCAAATCAAACATTGACAAATTTTTGGTGGGTGAAAAATAACAACCCTACATGTACGACTCTATCCAATTAAATAAAAGGACAGATATTCATGGATGTAAAAAATGTCTCGACAAAAATTATGAAAATCATGTTTTGAAATAGAGCACTTTTTTGCAATCATTGAGGCTGCAGGAATTTGATTATCTCTTACTCAGACCAATTACTCGAGAAAAATGACGGAGGTTTTTTTTTCCTGCCAATAACCAAGGCATTTTAACAAATTTTCTAAAATATATCATTAAGCAGGAATTTTAAGTTGTGGTTGGAAAAAAAAGTTGTTAATACTGCTATACTTTTTTGTCATCTCTGAGAAAGATGGGCCGTACTTGACGTTCATACATGTACCTGTGATGCACATGGCAAATATTAAACCCGTTGTAAATGTATTAACTTCTGATTTGGTAACAAACCACCAAAGTAACGATAAATAAATGGCAACAGCAAAGAAAAACTTCCTTATTTATAGTATACATTTATCAACTTATTTGCATAAAAGCATTTGCTCCTAATTTTGTTTTTAACACATCATTATGCTGATGGTTTGTTTTGATATGACAAGATATCAGCATCTTGTATAATGGAAATGAATGCTTTATGTGGTTTTTATCAATGATTGATTATTGTAGGCATTCACTTTGAATTTTATATTGAATAACAAATGGTCTCTTTTAAAAAGGTTACTAAAACTATACATGCATTATGAGAAACTGTTTGAAAATGCAGGCAGAATTTTTTTCCTGGATAGGACTCCACATTACAAACTTTGAATTAATATCAAATATACTATTAAATTCCCAATGCAACATTAAAACAGATGTTTGAGGGTCTGACAACTATTATTTCAATTTATATGGTTTTAATTATTACTGTTTTTGCATTAAATGGTTAAAATGATTTTAATGTTTGATTATTGGTAAAAGGGGGAGTTACCTTAATTTTACTGGAAGCTGTGGATGGTCTCCCTTTGGTTTGCTGACTAAGATCTTCTGGGAACAAACTGACTAAGAACTCACTGTATCAAGAAAGTTTTGTATAATGTTTCTTTAATGTTGATTTTCTTAAATAAATTAAAAAAAACAGCATTATTTTTTTTCCCATTTTTTCAAATTATTATTCAACTACATAAAGCTAATGGAATCCTTTTGAAATACTATTCTGTAAAAGAATTATTTATGATGAATTTTTAATGAAGAGCATGAAGTATAAAACAGCAGTTTACTTCTGACTGGATTGCATCAGCATGACTAAATCCTGGAACAGGACATCTCGGTTTCTCTCACAAAATCCATCAGCATCATAGGACACCTAGAAAGGATTCAACTACTCTGTAGCTCATATTGTAATTTACATGTTGGGGGAAATGTACTTCTCCAAGAAAACAAATAGATGAATAGCAATAGTATTAACATTCCTGCTATTACAACTGGATTTCTCTGTCCTTTGTATGTATATTCATCATTCATGGAGAGACCATTCTTACCTTTCCTGCATAATGATGGATGACAAATCCTATACTGGAGCCCTGATAATGTTTATAGAGAGACCATTCTTACCTTTCCTGCATAATGATGGATAACAAATCCTATACTGGAGCCCTGATAATGTTTATAGAGAGACCATTCTTACCTTTCCTGCGTAATGATGGATAACAAATCCTATACTGGAGCCCTGATAATGTTTATAGAGAGACCATTCTTACCTTTCCTGCGTAATGATGGATAACAAATCCTATACTGGAGCCCTGATAATGTTTATAGAGAGACCATTCTTACCTTTCCTGCGTAATGATGGATAACAAATCCTATACTGGAGCCCTGATAATGTTTATAGAGGGATCATTCTTACCTTTCCTGCGTAATGATGGATGACAAATCCTATACTAGATCCCTGATAATGTTCATGACTCCCTACTCCACCAGATAATTTCTGCAATATAGAAAAATTTAAAATCATATTTATGTACATACACATTTACACTTATATGCATAAACCTGCATCCATTTCTCACTGATTATATAGATCTTTTATAACACATGTAAATGTTATACATGTACTTGACAGTAATCTTCATTGAAGCTTTCAGAGCAGTACATGTTTTCTAAGTTTATTTTAAAATCATACAGCAAATCCTTTCGTACTGTAATTTATGGGTGCTCATGCATGAACTTCAATGAACTAAAATGATTAAACACACAAAATCAAGTAACCCCTGCACCTTTTGTTATAAAATAAACATTATTTAAGGCACTCATTGATGATAATGCTGAATAAACAAGGGCATCATAGAGCTGAGAAACCCAATTTAAGAGTTCCTTTATTGCAAGGAGTAAATTATATTTCACCTAAAAGTTAAATTTACATAATAAGTCAAAAATCATGCGTTTCTCTTTAAGATACAGTATCTCTATCATTAAGCAAAAGATAACTCAACTGTACTGCTAAGCAAGAAAAGAAGCAAAACAGCAAGTGGCAGAAAAAAAGTTTGTTTTCATGCGACTTTTATTTTTAGGCTTAACTAGTAAACAATATTGAATCGGAGCATCCAAATGTGGGAAATATGTTCTAATTATCTTTTTTTGAGGATTGTATTAAAATTGTTGGTCTACACACATTTTTTGTTACTTGAGACCATGGTTCCTTCCTCAACTTTTCTACTCTATATTTGTCAATTATTTGGTTTGAGCATCATTTCAATTATACATGCCCATTAATTATCTGGTTATTTACCTTCCATATGCTGAATCTAATTTAAACACTTGTTTAATAGCTGTATCTAAGCAATGTATGCTCTGTAATTATCAGTTACCTGTAAATTATCCATTCAATAGCAGTACCTGTACCATGTACAGGTATCTGTAAACTATCCATTCAACAGCAGTACCTGTACCATGTACAGGTATATATAAATTCTCCATTCAATAGTAGTACCTGTACCACATACAGGTATCTGTAAACTATCCATTCAATAGCAGTACCTGTACCACATACAGGTATCTGTAAACTATCTATTCAACAGCAGTACCTATACCATGTACAGGTATCTGTAAACTATCCATTCAATAGCAGTACCTGTACCATGTACAGGTATCTGTAAACTATCTATTCAACAGCAGTACCTGTACCATGTACAGGTATATATAAATTCTCCATTCAATTGCAGTACCTGTAACAGAGTTTGATCTGCCCCTTCTGATACGGCATGCATGGTTGCACAGACATCATCCATAATACACATAACTCCTGGTGGAGATTTAGTCTCAATTAAATCACACACAATTTTATTGTTGAAGTATTCTATTGGTGTCCATTTGATTCCTTCTTGCACATACTCTTCCTGTTAATTAATAAATTAGGCAATCAGAATTTAACCAGGCTTCAGTCAAAAGAAAAATTTAAACATTTCTATGCAGATTTCCTCAAATACAACTTCCTTATGCATATTTCAAACCAATTATAAGCCAAGAAATAACATATTTTCTTTTGTATTTTTATGTACTTGTATATATAAATTTCCACAACAATACATGTATATATTCTTTTCTTGCTCTTACCTGTTCAGCTTTTAATGTTAGTTCTATAAATATCTGCTGTAGTTTTTCGTTCACATAGTTTATACAGAACTGTTCAAATCCATTCTTTTGAAATATTTCAAATCCATAGATGTCTAAAATTCCTATGTTGATTTCTTCATAATCCTTCCTCATAGCTTTGTTCACAGCCTAAAGCAGTAAAACAGTTTACAGCCTAACAAAGTATGCTGATATGTGAAAACAAGTCAATTTCTATACAATGATATAAGTAATAAGAACTTAATATATGCTGGGTAAATCTTCACACTTTCTATAAATATAATACTTTTCAAAGTTCAAACCAAGAGCAATAGAAGTCATGGACATGTATATATTGTACCATGTATATGTACATCAGGCCTACTAATTTGATTTTTAATGACATTAGCAAATGGAGAATATACCAATATGCTGTGATTTACATTTAAAGTTTTGACATACATTGTATCAATGAACCTACATGTAATAAAAGAACTGATGCAGAATATCTTCAATGTGACAAGCTAATAAAACTAAGTTTATTCAAGAAAGCATTCAATGATGAAGTTTACATTTTTCATATTTGTTAATATTTGGCAACCATCTATCTGGTCCCTCACAATTTACAAGGGGTGCATTATAAACACTTACATTGACAAGGTAGTCAAATATCCTGGAGTATAGGGCCTTTGATAGGGCATCCCGTGTGAATTCGGCCTGCTCTACATTGTGGGTGACCTCAATCCTCTCCGTCTTTCCTCCCCATTTACTGTCCATCGTGTGACTGGTCAGCTTCTGGCGGAGGAATTCCTGGTCAACAGTTAACAGGTAAGAGGGGTACTGTAAAACTAGAAACAGAATAGCTGGTGTGAGGAGTAGTGTAAAACTAGAAAAGGAAAGAAAAGTCAAATGAGAATGGTAGAGTAAAACATGGCATTAAAATATATTTAATGTATTAAACTGTATTTAATGACTGATATGTTTCTCTCGATGAGGAATTCTCTCGATGAGGAATTCATGAAATATCATTTCACATAAAAAGCTAATATCTTTGACTTACTGTAAATCTTTAAATTTTCATGACACCTTATTTTCACGAAATAGTTGTTATTCCTCTATATAATCTAAGGAATACTTTTATACGGGAGAATTTAATTTTCGCGTATGCATTGTCTCGCGTAATTATGCGAAAATAAAGTTCTCACGAATAAAAAGTGATTTACAGTATGTTAATGACACGTACAATCATCATTCTGTACTTTGGCGTAGTTTCCGTCCTCTATGAAGTTAACATTTCCCAGATGAAGAATGGCTGCTATAAGACTCAGTATGTCCTCTTTGTTTTCTTCTGGAATGCCTACCACAGTCATAGCATGCTGTCAAAACAATGACATTACCAAAAGATGGTAAAACCCTTATAAAAGTTTTGATTAACCTTTAACACCTACATCTATGCTTACCATATTTGTATATTATTCACTTCTATTCATCATTGATACACAACTTCCATAAAAATAATATGAATTTTATTTAAAACAAAACAAAAACTTGGAATAATAAATTGTAACATGATTAACAATTACTTTCCAGAGGTGCCCTACCATGGTATCTTTGAATTCCTGTACATCATCAGTGCCATCCACTTTATAAGCTCCACTTTGGTTCAGGTACATGTAGTAGTCAGGATTAGTGAGACCCAGGGACTCTGTAATGAATCATAATGGTTATAATTTCATGTCAACTCTTACAGTATCAAGGAGAAGATCTCTCCATCAAAGAATCTGAAAGAAACTGACTAATGATTTGAATAAATTTGACAAGATAATGGAGGACTTTATTGCTATTTTACCAATTTGTACATTGAATATATTAATGTTGAAAGTGAAAGAAGAACATCATATATCTCAGGTTCATGTTTGTGTACCTACCTTTAATTTTATTGTCAGCACCAAAACACATCTGGTAAAATATATGGAAATTCCTCTCATTCTGGTTTTGCGTCACAACACGAGACTGAAAATCACAAAAAATAATAATTTGTAAAATCTTATTTCTACAAATCAAATCAGTGCTAAGGCTATCTAAATTTAATTCCCTGGTTCTCAGGCAACTTTCCGAAACGCGACAAATTTTTCATTTTATTGGACGAAAAATAGCGGCATTTTTTTTTAATTTTAATTTCCGAATTTTCTTTAACATAAAGATAATTTTTTAATCACAGATATACTTTCCATTTCTGGTCAAAATTTCTGCTTTATCCATTGCTTAACAGCGTGTAAACATCGTAGGTAATGTCCTCGAATGTATTTTCAAACGAAGTAGCCAAGGTATCACACCGGTAATTGACCAATCAAAATGAACTTAGTCAAATGTAGGTCCATATATATAAAATTGATTTTCTTTTCTTTTGAGACGTTTTTCTACTTTCATGCCATTTTTACAACTTTGGTACCTGTGCCTAGTAAATTTTATGTACTTTGAGAATAAATAAAGGTTTTTGACAGGAACTATTTTTTTCGTCATAACATGTATTGATTTTGACAGTTATAAAAATGTATTTATTTTATTTTTTCAGCTAATGTGACAGGTAAAACATTTTGCTGGGCCAAATACCCGTTTTTAAATTTTTTATTCTATATAGAATTATATAGTGAAAACAATTACCGGTGTGATACCTTGGCCAGGTGATTATGAAAAATCATTTTAATCCTTATTAAAGACATTTTTCAACTTCCATATTTCAAAAAATATGTGATTTTATGAATTTTGTTTAAAACACACAAAAAATTAGAATTAGAATTTACATTTTTTTTCAAATTATAATTTTTTACATTAAAACAATTATTTCCAAAAAGGTAGCATTATTCTCTAAAATGTGGGAAAAAGTCTTTGAGAATATTGTTTTTTCATTTTATATGACTGCACCAGCTTTAGTCAATTATTGTGTCTACAGACTTTGCGGGTTAAAGCTGATTTTTCAAAAATAGACTAATTCTAGGTTTAGTGAGACACAAGCGACAACTGTAAAATGTAATTATAAAATATGTTCACATAATTTCATGACACATGATTTATTTTAATTTATTCACACCTCCAGTGATACATATATTACTGCATTGGAAGAATAAAAATAATGAAATGAGTCTCTCTAATAAACTTAATACAAAGAATCTAAAATTCATTAAGAATTTTTCAGAAAGGAAGGTTATGACCAAAAATTTCTGAATGATTTGAATAAATTTGACAAGATATACATGTAGAATGTCACTTAGCACCATTTATTCTCAGCTATTTTTTTGCACCATTCATGTTTTTTCAGTGTACTGTTTTTTGTTATTTTTTCAATATGTAGGTTTTGACTGTCACTTTTGAAGACCAAGGCTTAGGATTATCAAAATTTAATAAATTCCAAATTTAACTGATGAAGAAATTTGATATTTACATAATTAAAATATCAGAATAATGTTTGTGTAAAGTACCTTTCTTTTATTGTCAGCACCAAAACACATTTTTGGTAAAATATATGGAAATTCCTCTCTGGTTCTGTGTTTTTGTCACATAGAAAAGTGTTCAAACTCATAAAAATGTTTAAAATTTTTATTTTAAAATTTAAATGTTCATTTTTTATAATTTGTAAAAAAAAGATATATCTTGCATAAATCAAATTAAACAAATTCCTGAGTGCCATGAAAAGAGAATAATTATGCATGTTAAATTGAAATTTCATTTTTGTGTCATTTATCATAAATTACAGTTTTTATTTTTATTTTTAATGGAGTGTGGGAGCTGAAACTACACAAATGCTATACATTTTGATGCCAAAGTACAACACAGCATTTATCTTCTGCACAGCAGCTTGTATAAAATAAATTGAAGATAAAAACATTATCATTTTAACAATTTCTGTATTTTTGTGATTCTTTGAAGGGGAAAATGCAACTTTGTTATGTATTTACATTAATCCTTTACCTTTTCTGTTTGTGGTGAGAAAAAGCATATACTCTCCACAGATAAAAAATTGGTCCCTATTCTTTTAATGATGAAATTCTGGTTCAAAAGATGCACAAAAAACTGCTTCTAAAGTGCTCTGTGTGTTATTCTTGACTGCTCTGGAGTAAGGGAGATACCATATCTTCAGAAATAAGCAAAAAAAAAAAAATTATTACATGTAGGTGCAAAAATGGAAAAAATCGAACACCTTCAAAGGCCCTTATATCACACCGGTAATTGACCAATCAAAATGAACTTAGTCAAATGTAGGTCCATATATATAAAATTGATTTTCTTTTCTTTTGAGACGTTTTTCTATTTTCTTTCATGCCATTTTTACAACTTTGGTACCTGTGCCTATATTTTATGTACTTTGTATAAAGGTTTTTGACAGGAACTATTTTTTTCATGTCATAGGAGGCTACCATATATAGCGAATGTTTATAAACACAGTGAAAACACGTGGATTTGATGCATATTTTCCTTGCTGTGTGGGTAGTTTTTTGTTACTAATGTGACAGGTATGTTTAACACCTCCTGCTAAATATTTTTTCAAAACATACCTTTTTAACGATTTTTTATTCTATATAGTTTTATATAGTGAAAACAATTTTATATACAAATGGCTACCGAAGTGATATTTGAATAAAGTCAAACAAATTCAATTTTTTTTTCCCGATTTTGCAAGACCAACTTTTTAAGTTTTATCAAAAATATGTAAAATCGGCAATGCGGCTACCTCAAAACGGATGCGCGCGGGCCTGAAAACCAAGATTTCAATTTTATATGGCCTAAGATACTGTAATTTATTTTTCATTTATCATCAGTTTTTATTTTTATTTATGCTGAAACTACACAAATGCTATACAATGCCAAAGTACTATCTTGCCTATAAAATGAATAAAAACATTCATTTTAAAATAAGATGTGATTCCAACTAAGATTTACATTAATCCTTTACCTTTTCTAGGAGAAAGTTTGATATTTTCCCTCCATCTGGTTCACCACCGCGACTGAACTGTATCTCCACATATTTACCCTAAAACGCAAAAAAAAAAAAAAATTTACATGTATCTCAAAATACAGTTACAACCCTAAATCACATAAAATTCTGCATCTCCAAATTATCCTAAACACAAAAAACTATCTCAAAATACATGTACAAGTATCAACCCTAAAACACATTAAAATCTGTATCTCCACATATTTACCTTTAAACACAAAAACTATCTCAATATAAATGTATAAACACTAACACAAATTAAAATTTGTACATGTATCTCCACAAAAACAAATGTTTCTCCAAGTACATGTATCTATCAAAAAACACCTAAAAAAAATCTCCATGTTTACTCTAAATTGCATTTAAAAATCTATTGTTAAAAAGGAACCACCTGCAAACCTTTATACTTACAAATCGACTAGAATTATTATTACGGACTGTCTTTGCATTTCCAAAGGCTTCTAACAATGGATTTGACTCCAGTATAACATCTTTGACTCTCTGAAATTAAAAAAAAAGTTTTTTTTCTTGTGCATCAAAACATAATGAATGGTTTACCTTCCCTTTTTACACACATGTTGACCCATGTTTCTCAAAAGGTACCTGAACTTTTGGACCACCACCTGAGACTTTGGCAATGAAACCCATAATGAATTTAGCTGCCACTGTTTTTCCGGCACCACTTTCACCACTGAAAAGAAATAAATGTACCCATAGACTAGCTGCAGATCTGTAGCGTTATGGTTTTATATATTTGTCTTTGACCATAACGCTACAGATCCCATAAAGCAAAAAATGTGCAATTTATGGCACAATATTTTTTGCACCCTTTTGGGGAGAATTTCTCCACTTTCTAACACTGGTCAATCAACTACCTTTCACACATTCTGTAGCCAATATGAATATTTTATCCACCTACCAACCATTTATAGTTGTCTCTACAGGAAATAAACTCGCTTGAGGTGCATTTTCAGCAATCTAACAAATAATTTTAATCAAGCGAGTTTATCACTTGTAGAGGCAACTATAAAGGGTTTGGAGGTGGATTAAATTTACAGATTAAATAGTGTGCATAGAATTGGGAGTAAAAGGCAGTTAATAGACCGATTTTTGAAAGTAGAGAAATTCTCCTCAAAAGTGTGCAAAAAATATTGCGCCGTAATTTGCACCATTTTGCATTACGGGATCTGGAGCATTATGGTCAAAGACAAATATATAAAACCATAACGCTACAGATCTGCAGCTACCCATAGACAATTCAAGCCATTATTATCACTAAAGTGTAGACATATGTGAAAATTTGTATTGTTACCTGATAATAACACACTGGTTTTCCATGTCTATCATCATGTTTCTATACATGTTATCCGCTAAGGCGTAGACATGTGGAGGATTCTCATACTGAGCCTAAAAAACATGAATTAAAGTGTCAGCAAAAAATCCAAAGATAACTGGTAATTCACCCTTTAAATCCTTTTTGTTTTCATTATAGCCTAATTCATTCTGTTAAATTTCAATTTTTTTCCCAAAATTATGAATTATTAATAAATGATTGATGAGAGCAATTTATTTATTATTCCAGTTAATCAGCAAGAACTATTGCACTAAAGAGCTCGAGTCCTTGATTAAGATTTCATGACCTTTACTTAATTGTATTTTGAATCTGAAGTGTTAACCAACTTACAGCTCCTTGATACATTTCCACCTCTCTGTCTGTGAAGATGCTCAGCTGTTTGAATGGATTGACCGAGACCAGCACAGGTCCAATATAGGTCTGCACAGTTAAGGTTAAAAACAATAACAATCATTATTACTAATACACTGGCTGACATATCCAACTTTGGAGCATTATTTTTGATTTCTCATTAGAAAAGGGAGAAACTGTCCTGGTGTTCAGAACTAAAATTCAAAAATATGTTTTCCAGTAAGTCTTGTACATAACTTGTGTGTATTTTTTTCCAATTTAAAAATCAAAACTGGAAAATGGATTGAAATCAATGTCAGTTATTAAAAAGGATACGAAGATGGTGTCCTCCATGAGTCTCTTTTTGAGGTTCTCCACGATTGCGGACTCAGAGATTTTTTGGAGGAGAACCATATCGTCGACCCCGCTGGTCTTAACATTGTGGCTCTGCCAGTGGTAAGGCTAGAAAAAAAACTTTTGTTTAAGACATCAAGTTACATATCCATATATTTGTGAGATAACTGGTATCAATATTCTTATGCCTAGATGTAACATAACCCCCTTTCTCTCCTCCCACGCACCTTGTAACTAAAACTGCAAAATTTATTTTTATTAACACTACAGATACAGTCTTTCTTGAAAGACGATAAAGCAGAAAAAAACTTATGTCTTTTTTAGTATCAATAAAAAGAAATAAAGCAGAACAATTTCCTTCAAGTGGGTGACCATTGGGTATCCCGGAAATGTTTCACTGGTAATTAAAAGATCACACATGCAATGAAGGTACAATATTACCAAATATTGCCAATCTTACCATTTTAAATTAGTAAATCTAAACTATCCACACAAACTGTCCTCTTCATATATCCATTTTTTGTTTCAGAAAGTCGTAAACTTAGCATTCACTAACATTGTTAAATCTAATGAAACATTGTTGACAGATTAAAGGAAGGAGCACCTGTACGTTGCGCGCGCACTTAATGTCAAAAGTAATAAACTGTAGGTGTGCTGGCGGGAAATTTAATCCCGTTTCCTATGATCATAAAACAATTTGTATATAGACAAAATTTCAATCGCCTGTGATTTGTTTAGTAATTTCATTTAATCTTTAAATTGACTCGCAAATAATAACATTTTTGAGAAGCTTTTAATTATGAAAAAAGTTTAATTTTTTGGATTTCTTTAACAAGTTTAATTTTAGATCTAATATACAGTGGTATATACAATTTGATCTTTCATGGTTCCGATGTGGATCGTGATCGACTGACTGAACAAAATTTTGGAGCAAAATGAAATGGCTCAGTCGACTCACTTGGCAGCCATCGGGGGGAGGGGGGCGTCTAAATTAAAAAGTACCCTATTATAGTTTTCTGGCTGCTGTTAAATCAACTTAAATGTGACTTTGCCATTTCATTTCGACAGAAGAGATGTAGGAATATTTTCATCTTGACTTCCAGGGGAGGGGTGAGGAGCTAGGATTCTCAAAGTAGCCAAAGTAGCGTTTGTAGTTTTCTGTTGGTTTGTACTGTTTGACAGAGAAATTTAATAAATTTGAATATTTTAAGATCTGGACAGTTTATGAGTTTTTTCGTCAGATTTTTTTTCGGGGGTGGGGGCAGCGTTTGAATTCCCTTACCCCAACCCCCACCTTCGAAACCATTGCTAAGGCAGGCACGTATAGCAACAGGGGGCCAGGGGGGGTCTGCCTCCCCCCCCCCCACTTTTTTCCCAATAATACCTTTACTATTGAAAATGTTCATTGAAAGGATGGTTGGCCCCCCACTTCTTACCACAATAAAGTGATATCAAGGAAATGCAGTATAGTATGGAAAATAATTGGACTTGAAAGAGGTTTGGCATTGGAAAAAGTTGGCAACTACCCCCCCCCCCCACCCCCCCCCCACCCCCACCCCACCCCCAATATGACATTTAGTCGTAAACAAAACGAGAATAAGGCTGGAAATGAATAGAATCCAGTTTTTTCTACAAATAAATTAATCTCGCTTTTGAAAGTTTTAATATCTTAGCCAATCGTACAATCACCAGGATTATCAAGCTAAAGGGCCTGTATGGGGTGTAACGAAGAATTCTGAGTGACTGGGTTGAAAAATATTCACCCGAGGTTCATTTTTCAAAATCAACATTGAAATATATTACCCCTATACATGTATAGCTGTGGGTCAGTTCTCACCCCGGGATTATTCTGTCTCGGAGAAAGATTTAGGTACTAGTATGTCGCTAGATTATTTACAAAACAAAAATAACGCGGGACCTGAGAGAGAGGGGGTATATAGAATTAAATACAACACGCCGAAATTGCCTGTTTGTTTGTTTGTTGTTTAATGTCCCTCTCGAGAATTTATTACTCATGTGGAGACGCCACCACTGCAATATCAACAGTATAGATTGACTTTCCACTACACTACTTTCGTCGAATTCAGACTCTGCTTTCCTTAATTTCAGGTTAATCTTTAAATTTTTAAATTATAACTACATGTAGGAAATGAAGAATCGGATAAACTATTGATAATTATTGTTAATTTAGTGACCCTGTATCAAACTTAAATAGGTCGTCAGGATCCGATTCTTTACATTTATACAAAAACGTATCAGATCATGTTTAAGAATGTTGTATTCAATATAAAATAGTAAAACATTATTGTATAACCAAGTAAAAAGACAAAAGGGGAAAAACATTTCAATCGGTTTTCTCCAATATTACTTTTCTAAAAAAAAAAAAACAAACATATTAATTACATCACTCATCTGAACCACTTAGGCCCTGCAGTATTTTTATCCGTGAATTAATGATTTTCCCTCTATATAACTTTGGTTGCATCCTTTGGCTCAAAACTACCCTCGGGGTCATGATTTGAACGAATTTGAATCTATTCCTTAAAACTTGAATCAAACTGTAATGATTACAATCGTGGCTTTGCTGTTTTTGAGAACATGATTTTAAGGATCCTTTGCCATGCGCGGGTCTAGAGGGGTGTCCGGGGGGGGGGGATAGAAGAGTTATTAATGTATATACTTTACCAAGTAAAAGTGACCTTGTCCAGAGTCTTGGAACCCCCCCCCCCCCCCCCCGAGAAACGCGGATCCCTCCTCGAAAACACAGATATGTGTGAAAATTGGTATGAAAAGTCATGGTATGAAGTTTTAAAAGTCAATGACTACTGACTACCCCCCCCCCCCACACACACACACACTGCAAGTTAACACTGTACTATGTCCCGGCCACCCTACCCCAAGGATACGTGATCTGAACAAACTTGAATCTACTATAAATTTGAAATGTACTTTCAAAAAATGCTGTTAATTTACAACGAATCATAATTTACAAGGTGTTGTTTCCCCGGCATTAATTTCCCATTAACTGACTTGATTTCCTTGTTATATTTTTTTATTTTTAATACCAACTTTCACTTTCCAGGAGATTTCGCAAGTTATAAAGATTTTGTATCCTTGTCTATTCAATATTAATACAAATCTGAACTGATATGTTATATCACTTAAATTGTACAATATTCTTCGTTCGAGATGAACGATAATGTGCATGAAATGTTGCATATATAGATAATCTCTGATAAACGTTTAAAGAGGATACACATTTAAGTGTCCCCCTTCACAGGCCCTTACAAATTCATGTTCTACATCTAGGCACTCTGCATCACTTTAGCATAGATCTAACAACACAGCAAAAAGGTCAGATGGAAACAAAAAAAAAAGGAAGAACCTTACCGCCGCCATTTCTGTCCCCTCTGTTTGAGTCCTGTTATATCATCAAAACATGCTCGGTGACGAAAGGCATATATAAAATATAAATGAACAAAATCAGTGATTTGTGGTTAATCCTTGGGTCTCCAGTGAGTAAACATGAGGGATGTAATTGATATGACCCCAGAGAGCTCGTCGATTTCCAACTTCCGATACGACTAGCTACACGGAAACTGACTAAACGCTCTCAGTACATAGCTTAAACACATATTTCTGTCTTATCACTCTCTGTCCCGTTATATATAGGGGGATACTTCCTTAATCAGGGTTAAAAAGGATAATAAATGTAAAAAGGGTCTACGGGTTGATACCTAAAGATTAAAGTGTTCCAAAGTATAGGAACGCGTCTGTTGCCTTCTTTTAGTTTCATTAAACATGTTGAAAGTTGCATATATGTACATGTTCAACTTACAGGCATGTAAGTATCAGCCCCTTCCCACTTTTTTAACAGACATAACTTTGTACTATGGAAAATGTTCATTGAAAGTCCGGTTGGATGGCCTCCATTTTTTGTTGCATCTTGTACAGTCAAATAAAGTTCGAGTGGAGAAAATGGTATTGAAAAATGGACCCCCTCCCCTATGAAACAGATTATTCTTCAAGCACAGGAGTCTGAAGTTTTTATCGTAAAAAAAAATCCGGAAAAAAAATTTCGCACCCTCAACTAAATAAACGCGTTATAACGAGAAAGTTAAGCGTTTATTCGCGAAAGTTTCGCGTTATAACGCGAAAAATTATTTTTTTTAACCTACGAAAATGAGCTCAATGGGCTCTCGTACGAAAACGATGCTACGTTACTGGACTTATAAATCTGAGAGTTCTCTAAGTCCACTAGTATGCAGACTTGTACGTAAGCCCTTGGGGTGTACCTTTTTCCGAACATTATTTTATGCCCTCGTTGTAGAAGGTTTGGGGGTATATAAGTTTTGCCCTGTCCGTTTAGCTGTTTGTCTGTTATATTTCCTGTTTATTATACTGTACATACACTGTATCTTCCCTTCACTGTTTTGTCAGTTATGAGAATAAAGTTCAAATTAATTTGTTTGTCCGCAAAACCTTTAACCTTGCTTCTAAGTTTCTAACTTTTGATTGGTTAAAGATATGGCTTTTATATTTCAGATGTGTATCCCTTATGTATAGCACGCCAAATTCACAAAAATAAGCTAAACCTAGTTTCACAGTTGATAAACTAGGTTTATCGACTGTAAACTATAGTTTACAAATCGTAAACTATAGTTAACGATTCGTTAAGTATAGTTTTCATCTGTAAAACTATATTTAACGGTTGTTAACTATAGTTTACGAATGCTTATCTAAGTTTATCTGTCTGTAATAAGCGTTAACAATAGTTTTTGTTGATAAACATAGATTCACGTTTGTAAACTATAGTTTACAATAGTAAACTATAGTTAAGAGTTGTTAATAGTTTCATAGTTATCACAAATTAACTATAGTTAACGGTTTGTAAACTATAGTTTACAAATTGTGAAACTGTATTTATCAGATAATCTATGTTTTGCGATCGCAAATTTGTTTCCGTTGTTAACTATAGATTATCGCGTTAACGGTTTACAAATGTAAAATATAGATTAACGTTGTTATAGTTTACAAATTGTGAAACTGTATTTGTGAAACTATGATTTGCTCATTTTTGTGAATTTGGCGTGCCATACTTATGACAAGAACTTTTTTTGGACATCCATATTTGACCTTGAAGTTTAACCTACTTTAAAAAACTTAATATTGGCTTTAACTGTTGAACAAGTATTAACAGATTATAGGCCTTTCAACTAATTTTTCAAGTTGCAAAAATTATCGTAAAAAACATTTCATAGATAGATTTATAGGTACATGAAATTAACAAAAAAGATAATAACTTACGCATACCTTTAATTAAATCATTAAAAAGTTTAAGTATTTATAATGGACTTGTACGATGTTGTGTTTTAAGGACAGGTAACTCAGGTGTGAAAAATGACCAACTATCGGCCGATTTATCGACATTGGTATTGTTATGTACACAAAAGGTTTCCTTACATTGTTTTGTACACAAAAGTGTTGACCAAAAGAAGGAGAATGTCTTTACTCTACCTGAAATAACAGGGTCAAATGAATGGGGAACAGACTATATTCAATATTTTTAACTCTCTTTGACGATTGTTATGAAGAAGAAAATACGTCATATTTTTTTTATGTGCGCACTTTTGCGCTTCTACAGTCGTTTGGCCAGTTCCGGATTTTAGCCAGTTCCGAATAATTAGTAATTTAAGGACTGATAATTAATAAATTCAACGGTGTAAAAATAAATTGTTATCTATGGTAGGAAGGCTTATTTATGAGTGTTTGAATTATGTGAAGTTTTGATTTTTATCGTACTTGAAACAGTCGACATACTTTTACAATGCAACAAATCTGAATTTCCGCGACGCGTTAGTCTGCAGAAAAACCTCTGTAGATACATACATTTTTCACATAAGACAACGTTCCAGGTATCAAAAGTAAATTTGATATGTACTCTAACATATACTAATAACTTGTCAAAAATAAATATTTAGAACACTGGAAGATATCGAAATATTTTCGTGCTCTTATTTTACCAGTTCCGAATACCCATTTTAAATACTATTATAAATTCACTCTTCATTGTTTTCTTCATTGTAAACGTGACTTATTATACCCGCGCTTGAAAAACAGGAAGAAAGGGGTATATAGTAATGGGGTGTTTGTCCATCCATCCGTCTGTACGTCCGTCTAGCTGCACGTCCGTCCGTCTGATATGCTCTGGGGTATCCATTCCTTATTGATACCTTCACCGATTCTTTATTACATTGTGACCTTTTGTTTTACTTTTTGATCTGACACTTATTTCGGGTTCTCCCAGAGCAAAACATGCATTTTGTCATAAATAATCATAAAGGAGGTGTGGGGTATCATTAAAATGAGCTCAGTGCCCACAGTACCTCTAGTTTCTCTTCAACCTTTGGAAATACAAATAATTTATTGGTAAGCAATTTATTTAACTTTTCTTGGCATGCCAATGGATAACGTCTGGGGCATATAATTTTTAATTTAGGGTTGACTTGAATAAGAATCTCTAGGTTATCCGGAACTCGTCGGCTTATTCGTAACTGGTAAAATGGACACCTATGGTAACTTGCGAAATAAATTTTTTTGAGGGAAGGCTGAACTTTTATGAAACAATATTTAATTCCACAAGTCATCGAACTACCTTGATAAAACAATTGGATTTTAAAATAATGCCTAGTATATTTATAGCACCGCCGAATCGGTTTCTTATTCGGAACTGGTCAAATAACTGTATATAAATATATATATTTTTACAAGTAAATACAATAATTAATAATTATCTTATTTGTTTTACTAAGCACTAAGAACGACCGAGTATAAAAATTTAATCAGTTAGAATTAAGAAGGAGGGTAGATTTCACTTTTTATTTTAATTAAAAATTTTACTTTTATGTAATTAAATGGTGTCTGCAACTATACAGTTTAACATTATAGCTAAATTTTAATACCACTGGATTCTACTGACAGCAAAGAAACACTTGAAAAATGCTAAAAACTGACTTGCGTATAAACAGTTAGATACCTCGGACCTGTTCTAAACACGTTTCCGCAATGAGTTATCGTTCATAACAGCGAACTCTAGCGGCAGTTGAAAGGCCTATATAGATTACTAGTCAGAAAAGAAAATTAGAAAAGACAAATTGACACAGAACTGAAAATGCAGATGTCAAAATCACTTAAAACAGATAAATTGTGTTTCAAAAGATCTTATAGTATTACATCTTCCATTATTAAAACTAGTTCATCGTTGTAATTCTTGATTTTGCAGGGTAAAGAGTGACTGAATTTAAAATGATGCCTCTAAATATATTTGAATATATAATGCACCTTAAGGCAGGAAACTAACAACAAGAGTATTTTTTTATTACACTTTTAATACAGACAATTTTTTTGCTTTGCTTAATGATTCTGATAATGTTTCTAAATTCTGATTGGTTGATGTAGGCACAATGTCAGTATCCATCTTATCTGATTTGTCAATGTCTAAACATTCTTTATCCACTTCCTCATCTGATTGGTCAGTTTTTTGTTCACTGTGCAAAGCTAAAACTTTCTTTTGTAGTTCTTCCCGACGGCGAGTTATTCTTTTGGCCTCAAGCAGAGTGTATGGATGAATGGGGAAATATCCCACAATTCCTAAAAAAACCCCAGAAACAATACATTTACAAGGTGTTCTGAAAAAGTTGAAGGATCAACTTTTTCTATCTACAGATTAAATTATCAAAAATCTAGATTATCTTTGAATACAATATCAATGTTTCCACATGTTATAGAATGACCACTCTGCACAGCCTCAAATTAGGACATAGGCCTACATGTACTCTGTGTCTAAGGCCATATAAAAAAATATGTGTGGTTCCGGTTACCCTACCTTCCATAATTTTTCACCCCCGAACCTAAACTTTTTTTTGGCAATTTCCATATTTTTTTCCAGAACTTCCTCTCTTTCCGTCATTGGTTCCTGGTATTAGTTTTTGTTTCAGCTGTTCAGCTGGTGTAAAGACGAATAATGACCCCCCATAGAATAATGACTGAAGGAGGGGGTGGTTGATTTTCATAACTAGGCACCCACCAATGTTGACTAGTATATAATTATGCCATATCTAAATGCCACCTGCAAAGCAGTGATAGGTATTATGAAGAAAAATTAAAAATATCATTTTGGAAAAAAAAAAAAAAAAATCCCTACCTACCTATCCTAATTTTTTTGGAGGTGTAACCGGAACCTCACCTTTTTTTTGTTTGGCCTAATAGAAAAATCAAAAGCATTAAATCTTGACATCCAACAATTTACCTGATAATGTGACAATATTATTTCTTTTAAAGTTACAGCTTTTATTTTATTTTGCATGGCTTTATACTGATAGTGATACATGAAATGAAATAAACACTTTTCATTGGGTGATTCCACTTTTCCATTCCGCGAGAAGAATTTTGATACTGTTTACAGAGATTAAAGAAAATAAAGACAAGAAAGCCATATATGTTTGTATTATAAATTATCATAGAAGACAAATTGGTAATAAATAGTTTTCCCAAGCATTTCCTCTGAAAGTGTAAATGAGTGTGATTCTTCGGAGGGGATACCCCATGTCCAGGGTAATTTGGAGTTGGATACCTTTTATTATTATTATACAATAGGGTTAAGTGCCTGTGATTTCAACAATGTTTAAGTTTCAATGGTAAATTTGCTTCAATTTTACTAAGTTTCTGTGGCAAACAGCTTCAAAATTTAACCACTTGCAAACATGGTTTACATTATTTAAACATTAAATAAATTTTTGTGGAATTTTTTTTTTTTAAATTCACACAACCAAAATCGTAACATACATAATATATCCATTCATAGTGTAAAACATCATTAAGGCCAAGGTATAAGTTTCGGTATGTTAATTTTTAATTTTGACATATCAAAAATTAATTGTAAAAAAGCTTGGATAAAAAGTATTTTTCAGATACAGTCCCAGGGTAGCTGCAGAACTGTAGCTCTCTGCTTGAGTAAATTCGGAGCTAAAAATACTAGAAATATTATCCCAAGTGAGCGACAAAAAAGTAGTAGCGTAAATTGAAGGTTTTAATAATGCTTGGATTTGTAGATCTCTGCTTTATCTATCAGAATTTTCTAAAGCAGAGAGCTACAGTTCTGCAGCTAGTAAGAGGCCAGCTTTAATTTTCCGCACAGTGTTATTTTTTAGCTTAATTTATACCTAAAAGCTGGAGTACAGGCCTGGAAAATTCTGCTCCAAACTTAAAATAATGACGAACTCTATCCAGATTCAGTCCGAGCACCTGCTCTCCGTTTAAGTTGGGTATTCGGTCATAGAAGCCAATCTGTTCCTTAATTTTTTTGTCTCGTGGATATCTGTTCCAGGTAACAACTATATGGTAGAAAGGACGATTGGTACAACCATAGCGCGCCATTCTGACCACAAGCTTTGCTCCTGGATAGGGCTTCATCTAAAAATACAATGGAACAAATACTTGAACTAAGAAGGTATTTGACACGAAATATTATCGTACATTATGTATATTTCTTTCTTATACAATCATTCTTTAGTATAAAGACTGCAAAAATATGGTGCTCATTCTTTTCATAGTTATTCTTTATTGGATAATTAAAAAAAAATAATAAACGTATTCAGAAATCAGAGGAAACTCTGGCGTAAGAATTGCAATTCGATCTGGGTATTATCGATTCGGGATAAAAAGTATCAAGTTAAAAATTTGAGTTTATTGATATTTGAAACAAATTGATACATAAAGAAAGTGAGTAGATTTACCTTTATCCTTAAAATATTTATTAAAATGTTTCCAACCTCCTAATTATATCATTCATATACTGTTTCGTATTGGATTTTTTTAGCATTAGTTCGTTCTTTGCGTTATTCGAATGATGAAAACATAAAGGTGGAATGCCACACCAACTTTTTATTTTATAGATCTTTGAGTCATCCTTTTTAAACAATGGTTTCAGCATTGAAAGGCCAATATAAGCTCTTAATTATTTTTTATTAATTTTTTTGTATTTTTTCAAAGAAAATGAAAAAAATTATTTACATCCAAATAAGTTGTTTTTTTTTTTCCGAGTTAAAAGTTTGCTGTAAATGAATGCATCATATGAATATCTAATATACTATGTAAAGAAAGGCTTGTTAGACTTTTTAATTCTTTTTATAAAAAATTATTTATGAAAATAAAAGATATTATTTGTGAATATTTTTTAAACCTATGGTTATAAACACCACGAAACTAGTCACAACCAAGGAGAACATGTTTGTCAATCATATTTTAAAAGGAAATTGAAACGAAATTGAGAAATTTTAGAGGAATTTTTAATATTTGGACCTAAAGCGATCAAAATTAACACAAAATGAATAAAATACTAATTTATTGCCTCTTTATGTATTTACAATGAAGAAATCTATTTTATTGTCAAGTTCAATAATGTTTTAACCCTTATTACATAGATATTCTGAAATACATTATTTATAATGAGCACAAACAAAGACAATGCTGTTACCCAATCAGACTAGTGTTCTTGGGGAAATATTATTTATTTCCAATAATTAGTCAGCCCCCGGGCTGACTAGTTACGTTGGGATGAAACTGCAAGTGCGCTTGCGTTAATCAGAATTCTGGGAAAAAGATTTGCACAATTTTCTCCAACCCGAGGGCGTGCTTCTTCACGCACACTCGATCACGACCTCGATCGTTCTTAGTCGTTCTCGGCGAAAATGAATGACATAGACTGTTCAGCCTCTAAAAGGGATATTTGTCAGTTTTTAAATAATACTGTGAAAATATTTCATTGCTTCTAATAGAAGATAAGTACATTTATTCCCCCAATCGCCATTGCAAGCCGAAGATTTAAATTGTGTATTCCTCTGGATGCTTGATGCAAGACTCCCTCGACCAATATTCAATACCTTGCATAAGACATGTACGGGTCGGAATTCACACAACAATCCTCTTGCCACAAAGGTCCCAAAATAGTACAAAAAAAGGAAGAAAGATCAATTTCTTTTCACTCTAATGATGGAAGTTATGAAAACATCAGAAGACCACTGTAAGACAGCAAATTCTTATAATTTACATGATGATAGACGTGTAAGTGTCGCCTGTGCACGTGAACCGCACCTACATGTGAGAAAATGACCACAGTGGAAATGCGATAGCTGAGAGAACTGTGCTGATTTATAGACAGGGTCAACCCCCCCCCCCCGACAATGAAATGAGAGGGGGTGGGGATGGATTCCAGTTTTTTAATCTATAGTTTTGCTATGATGGTAGACATCATCAAAGACATTTTGTGTACATGTATACGTACGCGTACTGCATGTATAAAAATATTTTGAATTTCCATTTTAAATTGTTTTCCGTGGCGTTCATTACTTTTTTTGGAAGCAATTCTTTTCTTTCCTAATAACACTAAAATAGATGCTTAAACTTAGAAATGGAATTAAATATGTACATGCAGTATGCCCCCTCCCTCCCCCCCCCCCCTTCCACATCATGTATTGCCTCGAAATGCACAAATGAAAACTGTTATGTAATAATATTTAAAAACAATCTAACACAAAGTCTACCTTCCTTTTATTCATCATAATCTATATCATTTTTATAGAATTTAACGTGATCTTAGTTGTCATGGTGGCTTTTGTTCATTTACCGGTATAAGATGAACTTTCTCTGATGTCTGCGCCGAAGAGAATTTATTGGAGATCATTGTAATGATCACGATGCAGAATTAAAAAAAATATTCTATGCTTTATCATTTATGTACAGTAGGCCTATTATGTTACAAATAAGAAAAGGATTACAAGAATTTAACTTTTCTTACAATGGCATTTATTACATTTTTAAAAGGAACACAACATGATGGATAGATCAAATCATAAACCATTACAAAACAAGAAAGAAACTTTCTGTATTCCAGTGGCTGACTCTCAGCTTTTTTAAAAAAGCTAACCTTGTTGTACAATTATGGTTGGGATCGGTTTAATTTTGATCGGGATTGGCCAAAATTAAAAAAAAAAATTATTTTCTCTAAAATTTCTTTTATGAATATGATTAACGAACATGTTCTCCCAGTTGTGACTGGTTTTAAGAAAATTCTAACCACAAGTTTAAAAAATACCGATTACTATATACCCTCCCACTTTTCAAGCGGGGGGTATAAAAATATTCACAAATTATGTGCGTTTTTTTTCATAAATATTTTTTTACTTAAAAAATTTTAATATCTATAGGGTATGGAATGCCATATACGACAGCCAACTGCTTACTGCCAACTGCTGACTGCTTACTGCCAACTGTCAGCTGCTTACTGCCAACTGCCACACATATTTGAATAAATTTTATATTTGTATTGATATTTATATGAATTTTCACAAAAACAAAGGGAAAAAAAGGCTCGGATCCAGGATATTTTTTCCAAGGGGGTCACCTTGGTAAAATTGAATTGAATAAAATGACCAATATGTTTTATCTTATGTAATATTCAATATGTGCGGTTAATAAAGTACATTGTTTATTTTTTTATTTGTTTTCCTATTTGAAATAGGTAATAAAATGCTCATTTTCTGCTTTTAATCTTTAAAGAAGCCCCCCCCCTCCCCCGGAGACAACAAAACCTCTGAAGAGAGAATAATAATAATAAAAAAGATTTGTCGTTTCGCAGAGAAAGATGTTTTGAAAATTAATTTCCGTTTTCCATTATATTCTATATATAGTTAAAAATTTCCTCAAATTAAAGATGTACATGTATATCTCTGTGTGTTATAATGTTTCACACGCATAGATCTGGGGGGTGGGTGGGGGGGGTTAAAATTTGTACATGCAGTCATACGTTAAATAAACTAAACGAAACACTGGTATAACTGACCTTGGACCCTCCACTTAGAAAACGCCGTTCAAACATTTATATCTCTTTGTTTGTACAAATAAAATATGTTTTACATGCATAGATCTAGAGAGAGGGCTCCAGAATGCCCCTCTGAAATTTGTAATGTTATTTAATGCGCAAACTAAACCAACTAAAAGTTATTTATAAAATAAATCAAATGAAAGGGACCTTAGACCCCTCCCCCTCCCCAACCGAAAATGTGGACGGCCGAAATAAATTTTCACATTTAGGAAAGGACTTTACGTATTTTTTTCTTGTCAAGAAATTTCTGGGCTGGATTTTTTTTTACCAGAGTGACCCTCTTGGTGAAATGGTCTATAGATCCACGCCATTTTTTTTTAATTACATAAATATTAATATTAAAATAAAATTTATTCAAATATGTGTGGCAGTTGGCAGTAAGCAATCAGCAGTTGGCTGTCGTATATGGCATTCCATAATAGGGCTCTTCTTTACATATTCATGTGATGCATTCATTCACAGCAAAATTTTTACAAGAAAGCTTTTTTTTTTTGAAATTTTTATGTAAATAATTTTTTTAATTTTCTTTGAAAAAATACAAAAAAATTCATATAAAATAATTAAGAGCTAATGTCGGCCTTTCAATGCTGAAACCATTGTTTAAAAAGGTTGACCCAGAGATCAATAACATAAAAATTGGTGTGGCCTTCCTCCTTAAACTTGATTATTTGCATTGAAAGAGATGTTACACTATGCTGTGTCTTCTTTTCAAGAATAGAAGCTACTATCAGGGCCCTATATACTTTTATAATTAAAAAAATCTTCTTTTTTTTACTTTCCTCTTAGCTAGTTCAAGTCGCCCGCGTGCAAGTGGCACAGTGGTAACAACGTCTTCTCTAGTGTCTCGAAGTAAGGAGTCGATCGTATAAGGCGAGGTCTCGTGTCGCAGTAGGTGTTGGCACGAAAAAGATCTTTTACTGCTCAATGGCCCTGAGTGCCGAGTATAGAACAAAAATTTGTAGCTCTTCCACCGACAAGTGGTGGCGTCTCATTATGAGTGAAAAATTCTCGAGAGGGACGTGCTTAAAATCTCTGCCTTTAAACAACAATCAATCAATAACCCGTGCAAGTGACATCGATCCACTTCAATGCGCTTCATTGCGCATTGAATTATCTCAGTATTACCTTTTTTCCCCCGCTTTCGCGAAAGCGAGGGGACATTAAATCTTATTCGTCTGTCCGTCTCTCCGTCTGTCCGTCAGTCTGTCCGTCCGTCACAAAAACTTTAACCTTGCCCATAACTTTTGATGAAGTGGAGCTATGACTTTAATATTTCCCATGTGTATTCTTTGTGACAAGACCTTTCTTTGGGTACCACCAAATTTGACCTTGACCTTGGAGTTTGACCCACTTTTACACAAAAATTCCCAACTTTTACTTTGGCCATAACTTTTGAATGGTAGATACTAGGACTTTTATATTTCACTTATGCATTCCTTGTGACAAAGCCTTCCATTGGATACCAACAACCTTAATCTATTGACCTTGACCTTGGAGATTTCTGTACTTGTGAAAAACCTTTAACCTTGGCTATAACTTTTAAATGGTAAGGGATAGGGCTTTC